CAGCCGCTGGTCAGTTTCAGCAGCGGCTGAATCTGGACGCCAGGTCTGACTTACATACAGATTCAACTTAAGAACAAACCTACAGTCCCTATCTTGTACGTAACCCAGGGACTGCCTGTCTTCTCATAGTGCCTCAGAGCCTCAGCAATGTACAGTGAGTGCGTGTATGATCCACTCAGACTTTGAGAGTTAGAAGGAATATCACAGGGATGGAATACACTAGACAAGTAATATGTTGTTGTTGGAATAGAGCAGTAAACAATTTATATAATCCAGTTTCTAAGCCTGATCTTTTCATAGGATGCACAGAAGTTATACTTTGGTGTTTAAATCAGCCCTTGAATGATTTGGAGGCAGTTGGCCAAGTAGTTATGACCCTGGATTGTGCTCAGGGGACTAGGATTCTATTCCCAGCTCTGCCACTAACTTGCTGCACAATCTTCGGCAAGTCACTTTCTCTCTCTGTGCCTGTTTCCCCCTCCTGTCCTTTGCCTTATCTATGCAGATTGTAAGGTCTTTGAGGCAGGGACTATCTCTTATTGTGTGTCTGCATGGCACCTAGCACAGAGGGGCCTTAGCTTCAGTTCATACTGATGATATACGAATAACAAATGGAAAATGTCTGTTTCATGTTCCTAAATGTCTGTAGTGCTCAATGGCCAACATCTTCCAGTGCAGAGAGACCAGTAAAGGGTTTTCACATTGCTAACAGGAGGCAGAACTTGTGCAGAGAACTTTAACACAAGCCTTGAAGTGAATTTCACTTTGTTTGTTGCATTTTTTTTATTATTTGTCCTATTAAGGACCATTAGAAAACTAGGCCAGCAGAGGCAGAGTTGACAACAAATGAAGGATTATGTGATATAAATATTTTGGTGCTCCATGAAAAATATAAACCAAATTCATATAAATTAGAGACAGAAAAGATTTATTTCCTCATCAGGCCCATCCCCATCTGCCAATGTAGGATTTTAGTCTATTGAGTATTTTCTTTTTCAGCATTCAATCTATAGTTCATTTTTCAGGCAATGAAACTTGAGATCGGGGCTAGACTACAGACTCCTCAGCAGAGTAGCAGGCAATTTGGGGATGTTGGGGTTTTCTTTAAATATGTAAATGACATTTTACTCCATTTTCATTTTTAACAATTAGTTTCTGTGCTAATGTGGTTTTACCTGGTATTTTTCACAGCCAAATCATCTTACAGCTCTTCACAGTTGACTATACTGGGCTTGATTCTCATCTCACTGACACAGATGTAAACCGGGAGTAACTCCAGTAAAGTTAAAGGATTACAGCGGGGTGTGTAAGTGGAGAACCAAGCTCATAATTTCTATATTTTTATAATACTGCGTTGTGCTAATATCTACAGATGGGTGACTTGTCTATCAATATGGAAATGCAGCATTAATTGCTACCTCCCCCATTCATATTATGAATCCATCACTAGGAGTTTCACTCTCTATCTGTGGTAAGCAAGTTGGCTGGCATTATATGGGTCTTTTCTGAGTGCATTCTATTTTCATTTGTCCATCCTTGTTTTATGGCCTCTATACTGCAGCGTGCTGTCCACTGTATTTTGTCCACTGTCTGAGTCAAGGGTCAAGTAACACAACTCAGAAATTGCTTTGAGTGGTCCCTTGTGTAATTTTTTAGACTAAAGGGGGTTTTACCTAGAGATATTAAATTTCAATGAATTAGCTACTCAAATAGTTGATGGAGTTTCCTTTGACTACTTGATTAGTTGATAAGGAGGGAGGGGGCACTCGCTATCCCTGCTCCGCCTTTGCCTTTGAAATGGCAGAGGTCCAGTGGGGAACCTGACAGGGGAAGCAGAAGCACAGTGGGGAACCTGAGGCGAGAGGGGACTATTTCAGTCCCCACTCATTCCAGGTCCCAACTGCTGCTCCTCTGCCTTTGAAATGTAGCAAGAACTGCGGGCGGCTCTTGCTACATTTCAAAAGCAGAGGTGCAACTTCTGGGACCAGGCGCAAGCCAGGACAGCTGATTCCCACTGTGCCTCTGCCTCCCCCCTCCCACCCCCACCATGGAGATGGTGCTGGGGGAACCAGCTTTTAAGCCAACTCCCCCCAGCACCAGCTCCTGCTGCCCCCTCTCCTCCCCCCCTCAGACAGCAAGAGGGAAGGGAAGTGACTGGTCAAGTAGTGACTCGACTACATGACTAATCGCTTACATCCCTAGTTTTACCCAAAAGAGCTCACAACCTAATAAATCTGTTAGTTTCTAAGGTGCCACATGATTGATTCTTGTTTTCAAATTCAGTATAAGATGATTTTCTCAGCCTTAATTTTACTTATAAGTTAGTGGCTGACACTTAAAATATGAAAGAAAAATCCTGAGCAGGAAAATCTAGCTAGAAGAAAATAGTGGCTAGAATTTACTCCTGTGCAAAGGACTCATGTCCTGCATCAATCCCCAAATAGGTCACTAGCAAGCTGTATTAGTTCCCTGGAGAACAGCTGATTAGCAAATGCATCGTTACCCCCATAAAGCTGCTGTCAGAAAGATTGGTGAAGTGTCCATGCAGAAATAGGCAGCAGCAAGCAATGAAGTATTTTTACTAAATTAAAAGTAAGAAAACATTGTAACCTAAAAATAAAAAAACTCTTCCCAGGTTGGTGTGAAAGTCATCCTAATGCAGAGGGGCCAGCACACATCCTATGCAGCATTTCAACCCCCCCTTTAAACCTGAGCATGAAATCCAGGCCAGAAGCACCAGAAGATGGGGTGGGGCTACACCCTCCACTTTTTACAAGCTGTGAGGGCAAGCAACAGGGAGGAGGGAGCAGAGAGGAATGAGCTGGAGGCAGGGTCTTGAATGGGATATCAGGAAAGAGGCAGCAGAAAGAAGGGGCAGCATAAGGGGTGGGGCCATGATTCAGGTACCACTGTGCCTCCTCACCCATAGGGAGCTTCCACCACTCCTGATCCCTTTGAAGACAACTGGGAAACTCAAATTGACCTCAGAATGTAGCGTTCCAGCTTGCTAGCTCTAGTGGTGGTGGCTTTGCCACAGCATTCTTTTCTTTCTGGGCTTTTAGTGGACACTGTAAAACCCCTTCCCCAAATGTCTGCAGCACAGCAGGACAGGAGACAAGAAGGAGTATCATGTCATAACACAATATACTGTTTTTCTTCAGAGGATCATAAAGGAAATTAGACATCCGAACCCTGTAGTCCTTGCTCATGCAAAACAGCCATTGATCTCAGGATCATCCCTGATACCAGCTTCAAACCCTCTTTTCAAATTCTAAAACCAGAGCAAAACTGGTACATATATATTACAAGGATGTAACTTGCTATTTAAAGTCCTTCTCATTCTGGAAAATTAAATAGAGAAACAACCAACTGTTACAAATGTATGTGCAGAATCTAATTAAAGCAGTTTAGGGAATTAACAGTATCCTGTTCAGTGGTCTGAAATGAAAAGGTTTGCATGAAACTACCTAGCTTTCGGGGTGTTATTTGCTCAGCAGGTATATAGTTAAAATTACTCACGACAGTATAGCAAACGTGACCAGAGTGATAGTCAAGCAGAAGATGGACAGTGAGCATCCGATGTGACTGATGGATGACAGCGCCATCTGGTGTTGAATTGTCAGCTGTGCAAAAAGGGAAAACAAAAATGTAATCTACTAATTGATCTACTATGCTAGAGAACCATACATACTGTTGAAGGTCTGCCAGACTCTTATGTGGTAATTCAAATAATGTGGCTTTGTTCTTCCTTAGATGGCAGCTTCACCCAAATGGATACATCACTACATCAGCAATTTCTAGCAAGAGTAATGTATTGAACTATCTGAATCTAAAGTCAAACACCAAGAGCTCTCAGATGTCATTTTGATTCCTTTCTTGTATTTCACAAGACTGTATTTCCTGAAAAGAGGTTAGATTAAATCTACAGTGCTGTGATACAGTCACCCTTGAGATGAGATAACACAACAGAAAATATTTTATCCAGGCTACACAAAGGCAAGGGTTGTTTAGCTTCTATGGTACTCTGCAAACACTCTCCCTCTACAGTAACTTACATCATTGTGTAAATGCTGCCAGTGAGACCTGGCAAAGGGAGGTAGCCAGTAAAGCATGGCTGCTTATGAGTGGTTTCTGCTGCAATCTTTTTTATGTACAGCATTTTAGTACCTGCTTAAAAAAAGTCAGATTGACATTAGTGATTTAAATCCTCCATAGAATCACAGTACAAGCAAAAGCATGGGCTACTACAGCAATGTGAACCTTTCACATTACCCTTAACTCTGAGGGTATGTCTACACTACAACACTAATTCGAACTAAGCTAATTCGAACTAGTGCATCTAGACCTAAGAACTAATTTGAATTAGCGTTTTGCTAATTCGAACTAGCATGTCCACATTGAGTGGACCCTGAACCGAAGTTAAGGCTGTCCGGAACCAGTGCCAGCAGGGCATCAGGTTAGGACTTAGAGTGTGGAGCTGCTGCCTCAGGCTAGCCGAGGGCTGTGCTTAAAGGGACCCGACTCCCCCAGGACAGACAGTTTTCAGGATTCCCCGCTTGCTTGTCTACCTCGATGAGGGACAGAAAAGCAGTCCTGTCTTGGAGTGCCCTGAGTGCCCGCACTTGGAACATCATAGCACTCAGCCATCAGCCCAGCTGCACTTGCCACAGGCTGCCATCTGAGGGGGTCAATCGGGGGCTGTCAGGATCCAGGAGGCCCTGCAGAAGAGCTTCCACCCTGAGGAGCCCGCAGAGCCACCCCAGTCCTCCCCATCGGGGGCTTGTGCCCCATTCCTCCCTCACCTCCTTCCACTTACCCTTCCCTAGCCCCCCTTCCTGATGTAAAAAATAAAGGACACGTGTGTTCAAAAATAGAAACTCTTTTTATTTAACAAAACTG